ACTGTGTGAAAGGAGGCCAGGTCGGGAAACAGGTAGGGGAGGGAGAGACGGCCTAGTGCGGCAGAGGCAGGTGAGGAGTAGCGAGCAACTACAGCTGTGTACAGTGCCGGTGCAGTCTTGTGCTGACCAAGGTGCTCGCGTTCGTCTATCGGCAGGGAGTTGCGAATGGCGAAGCGAGCGTGGGCATCACGAGTCTGCCACTGTGAGCGAGCAGTGCTGTCAGCAGTAGCAGCAGGGGCAGTGACAAGGCCTAGGGCGTGATCGTACAGTGAGATGTCATCCTTGGCTGTGAGCTGTAGGTAGAGGTGCAGGTCATCGAGCCAGGTGTCAAACTTCACAGGGCGGCCCTCAGCATCGAACACGAGAACCTGTGGGCTAGCCATAGGAACAGTAGAAATAGCAGCAGTAGCGGTAGGAGAAGCAGGTAGGACGAACCAGGTAGGGCAGGGCGGCGCGGCTCGGTTCAGGTCGGGTCGCGGCTCGGCTGGGTGGCGCGGCTCGGCTCGGGGCGCGCGGCTCGGCTCAGGTCACGGCGGGGACGGGCCGCCCGCTCTCCCTCTTGTGCTGCGGCGGGAACGGGCCGCCCGGGGCCTCTGGGTGGTGGGCACGGGTCGGCGAGGTAGGCACGGGGCCGGTTGGGGCCCTAGAGGGGCGAGCGCGGGGCCGATCGGGGCCTGAGCGGGGCTAGCGCGGGGCCAAACGGGGCCTTGACGGGGCTAGCAAGGGGCCGACGGGGCCTGAACGGGGCTAGCGCGGGGCCGACGGGGCCTGAAACGGGGCCGAAGGGGCCTGAAACGGGGCTAGCGCGGGCCCGATCGGGGCCTGAATGGGGCTAGCGCGGGGCCGACGGGGCCTGAGAGGGGCTAGCGCGGGGCCTACTGGGCCTGAGACGGGGCTAGCGCGGGCCGACGGGGCCTGAAACGGGGCTAGCGCGGGCCGACGGGGCCTGAGAGGGGCTAGCGCGGGGCCGACGGGGCCTGAAACGGGGCTAGCGCGGGCCGACGGGGCCTGAGAGGGGCTAGCGCGGGGCCGACGGGGCCTGAAAAGGGGCCGACGGGGCCTGAAACGGGGCTAGCGCGGGTCGACGGGGCCTGAGACGGGGCCGACGGGGCCTAAACGGGGCTAGCGCGGGGCCTGAACGGGGCCTTAAAGGGGCCGACGGGGCCTGAACGGGGCTAGCGCGGGGCCGTCAAGAGGGGCCTCTAGGGGCGTGACACGCCGAGGCGCCCTAGGGCACGGGTAGGTAGGTAGGTAGGTAGTTACGTAGTGGTGGGCCCTTAGAAAATTTCGGTCCTAGGAAGGACCTGCTCTATACCATGTTGGAATCACTGAACAGGAAAATGAATGAACTAGCAATGAAAAGAGTACAAGTACCTAACCCTAGAATTGTGTACCCCCTATAGGCTAACCCACTGTAGCCTAAACTAACACAACATATATAATGTTTGACAAGCCTCTCTCCACGAAAGATAGCGACCACCTCAAACCAGTCGACATCGTACCGCAGCAGGGAGCAACGCATCAGATGCTCCAGGCTTGTGTCGCCAAGGCTGCCACGGCCCCACGTCTTGATCAGATTCTGCTTCGAGAAGCCACGCTCGCATTCAACCGTGCTCAATGGCAGCACGGCCACTGACTGCCACATCCGCATGATGTTGGGGAAGGAGACACGCCATGCATCATCCCGCAGCATGTTCGTCAGCGCCTGATGGAATTCCTCGTTGTTGTGCTGGGCGAACATTGTGGATGTAAACATCCACAGCTCCTGCTGGGCTCTCTTGTAGTCGAACCCTGTGGTGGGGCGGAGTGCGGGTGAAAGCTAAGCCGATGCTCGCAGACACGGGTAGGGGTGGGGGGCATTAGTCCAACAGGCCACAGTATGCAGGATGTGCAATGGTTAACCTCATGTCAGGCATGAAAGTGACAACAAACATCACAACATGTGCAAGCGCTACAGAAGGCTTACCAGGCAGCTTGTGGTGGTATAACTTGTGCAGTTGGCCGAGCCACTTCTTGAAGGTTTCCAGTCGCTTCGTGTCGTCGGACACGTACGAGGCTGTGCGAAACAGCTTCGAGCCTTCCAGGAGCTCCAGGTCGCGCATCCGCCACTCCAGCTCCTTGTCAATGGCGCGCACGTACTTGATCGACAGCTCGACGCACGCCGTGACATCGCCTTCCGTCTCGTGTCCAGGCAGCGGGCGCTCGTGCAGCGTGAACTCAAACGTGACGGGATTCCCTTCCCCGTCTACGCCTTCCGCCTTCATCTCGTGCTTGTCCTTTGCCCCGTGCCTCTGAATGAACTCGGGAAGCTGCATTTTCTCGCCGCTGCCGAAATGGTGTGCAGGGTCGCGGAGGGAATACCGCGTCTTCAAACGCATCCTTGTCTGCTGCACGATGTGCGCAACAAGGGTGACGTCCACCTGCACATGGGGATCGCAGCGAGTTAGTTAGTACACCTGCTTGCAAGCGACAACAAAGACGCCAGCAACAAAGACGCTTACCTGGCGCTGCTGGAATCGCAGGTTAAGGCTGTTCAGTTCCCAAAGCACATCCGCAAGAAAGCGGATGAGCCAGTGGAACTTGAACGAGGTCACCACCTCATACAGATCCGCCTTGTAATCCTTCATCACCACAATGGCCGCAGGGAGCACGTCTAGAAGGCGCTGTACCGCTTCACCGCGGGCGAGCCATCGTGTGTCGCTAATCCCCTGCGCCTCGAGATTCGTCTGGCAGAAAATCCGCTGCATCTCTTGAAACTTCGCGTAGTCTACACTGCTGCGGCCGATGTGGTCAGCGAAGGCGCGCATGACGTCGTCGATCATTAGCAGGTCAAGTACCTCTTCTGCAGCATCACTGGCAGCGAGTGCCTCCCTGTACATAGAGGAAACACGACATATTGTTAGTCAGCGTCAGCACTTGGTAAGCGAGCAGCACGGAGCACACAACGGTGATGCTTACCGATGCGCGATACAGTGTGTTGAAGCCAGATGCGGAATGCGCATGCGAAGACGTGTCACGACTCCTCGGTTCTTGCCGACCATGACGCTGGCACCATCGGATGCGACGCTGGATATCTTCTGGAGATCCAGCCCGATACTTGTCAGATACTGCACAACAGCGGATGTGAGTGAGGCACCGTCACAACGGTCAACAGTAATCAGAGTCAAGAACTCTGTAACCACAGTGGTGCGCTGGAAGAACGTGGCGTATAGAATGAGGTGTTTCCCATTCACACGGTCCGTGCTCTCGTCGAGTTGAATCCCTATCCACGGGGATTCGAGCAGGTGCTGGCGCTGTGTCTCTTGAAGGTATGTTGAGAGGGCGCGCAGGTTCTCTTTGAAGCCGTAACTGCCAGGGGACAACATAGGTGGTTAAATACCACAGTGGATAATATAGAACACAGCAGAAACACCAAATCAAGCAGCCACTTACTCTGTGTAGTACGCGCCGTAGCCGCCAGCGGAAGGCAGGTCTGGTAACCCCTCCTTCGCCAGAAACCAACACAGCGGGACGAACATCGCTATGGGTGCATCGGCCTTACAGACAAAGTGCGCGATGTGGAGGAGCCGAATGATGTGCCGTGTGGAAGCGTCTGTAGCCTGCCATCGTGTGATTGAGGCCTGCTTCGCCTTCTCCGCTTCCGCCTTCTCCTGATTCTCCAACGACTCCTTGTGTGCACGGGAGGAGGTGTGAGCGCGGATGCTGCCGATCTGGAGGTCCCGAGCACCTTCGCCCTTCGCCCCGTACGCGGTGTGCGCCAGTGGATCTCCATGCTTCACACAAATCGCACACTTCAAAGACGGACGGCCGTTAGACATGCGGAGCAAACGTAACCACTTGAAGCTACCTGCCCACTGACCCTCAAACGTCTTCTTCACCGACTCATACTCAGCATCCGCCAGAGCGGTGGGTGGCGTCGGGTCGGCCGAAGGAGCAGGGCGCTTGTGTGAAGTAGCGTTTTTCGGAGGAGGGGCGCCCCACAGCGTCTGCTGCTTGTACGTAACTCCCACACGCGGTCGCTTGACGGGCGCGGTGCTGACCGTCGAAGGCGAAGCAGTAGGCGGCTTTGACGAGCCCTCGCCTCCTCCGGGAACCAAATCTATGTCGAGATGTGGCTCCCACGCCGTGGGTGAGTCTGGCGGCTCGAACGGATAAACCGTTCCTACCACACATTCAGGTGACGGCTCACGAGGCGGCGGCTGAGCGATGGGCACGGCGTAGTTCTCGCTAAGGCGTGGTAAAACGCCCAGCACAGAGAGGCCGTTTCTCGCGCCATCAGGTGGATCGGGCTCTCCAGTGGGCATTGTTGAGGTGAAAGTTGGAGCATGGTTGAGAATGAGGGCCAAGCGAGAGACCCCCTCGAAGAGAACGACCCCCTGGCTGCCTCTCAAGGGCCGTTTCTTCCACGAGGCGGGAAGTGTATGGCCAGCACGGCAGGATTGCTGCTGCATTCTGTTGTTAAGGACAGCTTGAAGCTGTCCTTGACAGCAAATTCTGCTGTGTTGGCGGTGGGCGTGGCGACGGGTGGCAAGATTCGAGAGAAACAACAAAAGAAGCAACATGGCGCGTTGCCGACAGCGAGGCATTGTTTTGCGCGTGGGCACAAGCGACAACCGGTGTTTGTGGGGGTGTGGTACATTTTGTCACAAAGCGGACTGTGGTCTGATTCGCGTTAGAAAAGTTTCGGTAAAAGGGTAGTGTACACCACACCCTGATTCCGTCAGCCTAACCTTAAAACCAGTCAGGGTAAAAAAAAACATGTTCTTTTAAGAGAAGGGCAACTAGTTCGCATTCCTGATTTTGGCAGGGTAATCCTGAAAAAACGGCCGACCCCCAGGGTAATCAGGGCGTTTTACCCTGATATTTTGGGCCCTGGTGTTGATATCATTAAATAGTCCTATCTGTGAAGTTAAGCTGTACAGTACCTTAAAAGCTACATCTTGTCACTAATCGAAGCCATGATGCTAACTCAGCATGCGTGTGAGTGAGCAGCACACGAGTTAGTGGTAGGACAAGGTGGGGCATGCCAGACTGCCTCCCGCCACCAGCCTGTTCCTCCTCCCGCCCCCCACCTCTCCCACCATGACCCCCGCCCCACTGCCCTGCTGCTCCACTTCCCCCTCCCACCCTGCCCCATTGTACACTACACCACCCTCCTCCCTCCTCTCCTCCCTCCGCTCCTCTCTTCTCTCATCCCTCATGGCTGTACTGTGCGGGCGGTGGTGGGGCAGCTCATAGCAAGCATTCATCGCGCACATCGAGTGCCGCCGCTGGGGCTGGGGCGACTGCCACCGCCCACACCGTCCCTGGCCCTCACCGCCTCCCACCACTTCACACCCACCGTAACCATGCCCAACCTCACCCCCAACCTCATGCACAAACCCCTGCTGGTGAAGCTGCAGCAGGCGGGCATACATGCCCTGCCCTGAGCGCTGGCTAGACCCACTGGAGCGAGCGGGGGAAGGCGAGGGCACGGATGTGGGTGCAGGAGAGGGTGCAGCAGCCCAGCAGCCAGCAGCAGGGGGGTACTGGCGCTCAGCACTCTGCTGCATCCACTCCAGCTGGTGCCGCTGCCGCTGCTCCTGCTGCTGCTGCCGCTGCTGCTGCTGCTGGCTGCTGCAGTCGGATGCAGCCACAGGGGAGGAGGACGAGGGGGAGGAGGAGGAGGGGTTGGCGCCGGGCGGCGGGAGGGCAGCATCGGGGACGTGGGCGAGGAAGTGGGCGATGATGATGCGCTCTAGAGCGGGCGGGGCGAGGCCCTTCTCTGCCTCAATGAGTCGCAGCGCGGCAGCGAGCGTGTAGACGGACAGCTTGCGCTCGCTGCCCCGCGTCACCTTGCTGAAAATAATGTCCGCACTCTGGTGGGGCGTGGAGGGAGGAAGGGAGTGAGGGAGTGGAAGGGATGAGCGTGTAATCGCACAGCTTGCGCTCGCTGCCGCGTGTCACCTTGCTGAAAATAATGTGCACACTCTGGTGGGGACGAAGGGAGCGGCGTGTTGGGGCATGGGAGGAGCATGGGAGGAGCGTGGGAGGGACGTGGGAGGGGCGTGGGAAAGGCACACAAGGAGAAGATGGTGAGGCAGAAATGTATGTGGCGAGTAAGGGCTCCATACATGCATGCACGCCTGACCAGCCATGAAGGCTGCGAGCAGGTGAGATAGAGATCAACAAGGCAGCAATGCATCCAGGAACGCGAGCTCAAGGCAGTACTTTCTTGGAGTCCAGAAGCATGGCAAGTGGCAAGGTTGGTGAAGTGTGCATGAAAAATGGCAGATTCCTCACACTCTTGACGTAATAGGGGAGGCAGCACGCAGCAGGCAGTCAGGGGGGAGCAGGAGGGGGAGGGAGGGACGTACAGTGGTGGTGAAGCGGGCGTCGAGGATGGCGGTCTCCTTGCACATCTTGATGAATCGAATGCTGTCCATGCGCGGCGGTGGCAGCCCCTGCAGCTGATGCCTGCCACACTGCGCCTGCTCACCCATGCCATGGGCGCATGCACGATGTTTGGGCATAAAGGGATGAGTAAATTACCTACTTCGGCATGCATAACGACAATGGCAACACATGACCATGGAATGCCAGTGACAAGAGCATGAATGCATACAGGAACTGCACGGGTATGAGACTCATGCCTGACATGCCACGTAAAGCAGAAATGGGTACATGGGATGAGGCACGAGGCAAGGAATGGGAGAGCCACTGAGGCAAAGGCGGGGGGGAGTTACCAGCGGAACGAAGTGGTGGCGGGCGAAGTGGGGGAGGGAGAAGAAGCGGAAGGCATCGAAGAACATGAGACTCGCCACCGCCCCCTCCGCTGCTGACGCTGCCGGGTCCTCATTTGTCAGCCGCCGATCCGCGCTGCTGCCCCCCTCGTCTGCAGCGGACGAAGCGGGAAAGAAGCTATTGGATGCACGCTTGCAGGCACACGATGTCCCGCCTGCCCACTCAGTGCACCCCGCAGCCATCCACACACAGGCACGCTCATTCCCAACCCGGCCCCTCTCCCACGCCTCATTCCCCTCTTAGTTCTCTCGCTTAATCTCATGCTCGCAATTTACTCGCGCCACCCCATGCAGCACCCCATACACCACCCCGTACACCACCCCGTACACCACCCCATGCACCACCCCATGCACCACCACAGGCACTCACCATCATACTGCAGCGCGCCTCTGCTTGCTCCGCCCTCTGCCGCCCCTCCCACTACCCCTCCTGCCTGTCCCCTGCGGCCCTGCCTCAAATCCTCGGCTGCTGCTGCCACAGCGGACACCATCGCTCGTCCCATGGCGCCATCCGTCCAGCCCACGCCAATGCTGTCGCCACCATCATTATCATCATCGGCCATCCCCTGCGCATACCCCCCTCTCGCCGCCACCTCCTCCCCCCCATGGCGCCACTCCACCGCATCCCAATCCCGTCCCCCCGCCACTGCCTGCCTCTGCGCAAAAGGCTCCCCGCCTTGCGCGTTCTCATTCCGCTCGCCTGCACCCCTCCCCGCCTGCTGCCCTCCCTCCGTCCCCCTCCCGCCCTTCTCCGCCCCGCCCATCGCCCTGCCTTCATGCGAGTTGTGATCCGACAGTGATGACCTCAGCTCGCTCAGCGGCTCTGGGCGGCACGCCTCTCCTTCCGCCACGTGTCCTCCTGCCGCCCGCGCGCCCGTGGCATGGGACGCCCCGAACCCGCCAGCAGCACTGCGAGCGTGCTCCTCCGCCTCTAGAGACCTCGTGCGGATGAGCCTCAGCCTCGGGGGAAACTCGTCGCCAGGCGGCACTATGTCCCCCGCGCCACCCCCCCCTCCCCCGAACCCCCCAGCGGAACCACTAGCGCCACCAGCAGCGGGTCGTCCGCCCCGGCCCTCCCTGAGCGAATAGGACGTGTGGGCGGCGAGGGGCGCGAGGGCGGCGGGGGAGGCGGGCGCAGCGTGCGCGGACGCAGCGTGCGCGGAAGCAGCGTGCCCGGCGGCGGGGTGAGGGAGGGAGAGGCGGCGCGAGTGCGCGGAGGAGAGGGTTTGGTGCGACGCGAGGAGCGACGAGGAGACGTGGTGGGAGAGCGTCATGGAGTGGCGCGTCGCGGACGTCAGCGCGGGCTGCGGCAGGTCCATAGCGATGGCCTGCACGTGGCACGCGATGACAGGGACACGTGGACACGAGCACATGAGTACATGAGGAGAAGGACCAAGCGTGAGGCACTGCGACAGGGTTGAACTTGCAGAGTCACATCAGTGCGGAAGCGGAACTGCTGTGCCAACCCCCTTGCCCTAACTGACTTATCCCAGGTCGCACCTGGCGGATAGGGTCGTTCTTACCTGGTGGACAAGTTCTTACCTGGTGAATATGTTCTTACCTGGTGGATAGGTTCTTACCTGGCGGTAGGGTTTACCTGGCCGATTGTGTCTTACCTGGCGGATGAGGTCGCACCTGGCGGACGAGGTCGCACCTGGCGGACGAGGTCGCACCTGGCGGACGAGGTCGCACCTGGCGGACGAGGTCGCACCTGGCGGATGAGGTCGCACCTGGCGGATGAGGTCGCACCTGGCGGATGAGGTCGGTGGAGGTGACGCCCAGCTTGTCGGCCATGACGGCGACGGCGTCGCAGAAGTTGTCGAACGTCAGCTTCTTGCGGCCCTGCACGCACACGCGCGGCAAGCAGAACACCGACACATTGTCGCTCGCACCTCGTCGCTCACAGCTCGTCGATCGCAGTTCGTCACTCACGGCTCGTCGCTCACAACTCGTCGATCACACCTCGTCGCTCACAACTCGTCGCTCACAACTAACCGCTCCGCAAACCGAAGAAGACGAACTACAGAGCGGCACTAGAGGCTACACTCCTCAGATCGCGGGTACAATTCTGAACACAACTTAACGGCTAAATCCTTAAACGGGTTGAGTGGTTACGATTCTAGACACGGCTTAACGGCTAGCGGCTTAACGGCCACGATTCTACATGCGGCGTCGCGGGGCTCACGCGCGGCTTGATGGTGACGAAGAGCAGGTCGACGTCCGTGACGTGCAGTCCCGCGCCGCCTCCCGCGTGCGCGATGATCCCCAGGTCGCGACAGAATCGCACGAACTTGATGTTGTCCATCTCGTCCACTTCGCGCGCCGTGCCGAGGCTGCCACGCACACACGGATGAAATTCATTCCAGAAAAGGGACGAATGTGGCAGATGAAAACTCAGAAACTATATTTCAGCGCGAATTGATGAAGCCACGCTGGGCAATTTGTCGAGCAAACCACCGTAATACACCTGAAAAACCACGTCCTTCTCTTCGCTACTGCGAACAGTATGATCAGGTCGAGCACGCACCAGCAATACTGGTTGAATATCTGGTATAGAGCGTCGTAATCATCGTCCGAAGGGACCTGAAACCCGTCTACCGACGCCATTCCAAAAGTCGATTGGATGAACACAAGAATCGCCGACGACTGAACGATATTATGAAGGCATGTATCGCCGACGACTAAGCTAGTCCGAGATTTCTTGGTGCAATCGCAGTAAGAATAGGTATAACTTGCAAGATCAGGCCGACCCAAAATGAGTAAGCGAAATGGCGGTTGCTCGAGTGCAGAACGGCTATTGCTGCGGCACGAAAAGCTAGAAGAACTGAACTTGCTTGGCTGTGCAGAAAAATGAGGGATGAATGAGGTGGAGTGGAGGTGTTGTTGAGCGGTTGTGCGATTGAGCGACAAGGTGAGGAGGGATGCGATCCTGCGGCACAGCCTCGCTCACAATCGCAGCACACATCAAAGCCGGCCGCGTGGAGAGGAAGAGGAGGAGGGGAGAACAGTTAGGGCGTGTTACATTTTTCGAAGTCGCTGAATGTCCGGACGACTGTACGGACGCGTGCGAAGAATGCGACGTCGCTCGGTCACGTTGCGACTAATACGATGTCGTAAGGATGCAATACGAAGAAAGCGACGTCGTTTAGACCCTGACGAACTCACTGCCGAGATTTAACGAGTTTCGTAACCACAGAATCGTCCGGACGTTTGGCCGTCCGGACGAAAACAATGAAAATGTAACACGCCCTTAGCAAGAGGGTCGCACACGCGGGCTGCGGCGGGTGGGGCCGAGAAATCTGCCGAAATTTGACTGATGCGCCCAGATGGCCAGCAACGGCTAGATTGGTTTGGCGCCACTGCCAGCCAGGCCTGTCGATTGACGGGCATATGCCCTTAAAGCCGGCGGCCCAAATTGTTCATGCTTTTAAAAGTTGACCAGAGGGAGTTTTTCTGGTGTGGGCTTTGGCGAGAGTTTCCGATTTCGTCTAGGTTCGTTTTTTTCGCGAGACCCAGCCAACCCTCGGTTTTCCCCCTGGTGAGTGAATCTGTCTTCGAAAGTCCCAAATTGCAAGTGCGTGACTTTCAAAAGCTTGGACACTCAACTTCGTCAAGTTTTAAAAACTTGACCCTCGCGGCCCGCAATTTGGGACGCGGGCTTTAATGCCCTGAACATTAAGGGCTAGTTTCGCTCCAGCTCCAATGCGTCAAGTTTTTGTTTCGCACCCCACCCGTGCCACTAAGTGCTTCATTCGACCCTTGCCCGGATGCGTTAAGGGACGAAACCAGGCCTTCCCCTTTATCTAAGTTTTGGTTTCAGATCGTAGGACCCCCCCCCCCCCCCTCCCCCCCCTCTTTCTCCTTAGCCTGCACTAGAGCGCGCCAAGGGGGTTTTTCCCTTAGCGTTTTGTAGCCAATCCCGTGTGTGTAGCATGTCTCTCAGTCAGCCTAGGAGCACCCGCACATTCCCTTAGCGTCCAATACGAGCTGGCCGCAGTGTACAGCTGTGACACATGGGATTATCTTGGGTAAATCTGGCTAAGTTGTTTGGCCACAGAGACATCTAAGACACTAAACCACAGCACGTCAAAGGAACTGAAGCACTCCAGCGCAGCAGCTCCCTCCCTCACCACCTTCGTTCGTGCGAGCCACGATTCCTCTCCACCACCATGCAATCCATCCACCACCACATCCCACCCATGTTTTCTCTTCCGCACCGTCCCACCACCTCCACGGTATCATCCACCCAAGCCCTCAGCTCTCCCCTCCCCTCTCGTACGTGCCATGCTATGGCACTTCTCCTCCACCCAACCACTCTGCCGAGTAAACCTCGCGTCGCCTAGCTCACGCACGCGATGTTTATAGTATGGGTAGCTAACCCGTTCGCTTCGTCAGCCACATTCTCCCACAATGGATCCTAGCGAGGGTGAAACCCCTCCTCCAGTTTTGCCCATGTCGAACGTTAGTCATTCTCATACTACGACCGAGACCGAGCCTTACGTACCCTCGGATGCTGAAGACATGCTAGACGTAGCAATCTCAGTGTTGGACCCGCGCCTCGCCCAGCAAGCATCATCGTCACAGACTACACCTCTGTCAGCAGCCCGCTACCGTCAGGTTCACCTTAGCTTCGCAAGTCCGCCACCAGATTCGCGAAAGCGCGCACGAAGCGTACCGCCTCCACCCACTGCTGAGGAGCTGGAGGCGCAGGACAAGGCTATCGCCGAGGATGCAGAAGTGCCCCCGGACACCGAGATCCCTGCTGCTGAGAAGGGTATGGCACGTCGCTTCAGCCCGTCGTGGAAGCAGACGTACTCGTGGCTGACACTGAAGTACAACAAAGAGGAGCGCCTGTATGGTATGAAGTGTTCCGTGTGCTGTAAGTTCGCTCCTAACACCAAGTCTCCCTTTGGCGGTGCTGGCGTCGGTGCAAGGGACTTTCAGAAGTCGGCGTGCCGCAACCATGACCAGTCCAAGGTGCACCTCGCGGCCTCGTGAACATGCTCAGCGGCGATCCAGTCATGGCGAGGGTCGTCAAATGCATGCAAGCAGCTCAGTGGATTGCGCAGAACGATGCACCGATCGCTCTCTACCCCATGCTGGTGCGGTTCATGGCGGAGCAAGGATGCCCCGACATGATGAACAGCGAATCCTACGGGCGTTATTACTCGCGGTAAGTGTTTGTTACCCTCTGGTTCTGCACCTAATGTCCTGCTGTTTCTTCTCTTCGTTGCCTCTGTATTTTCGTACTTGTGCTTGTGTTATACGGTGAGTAACGTACATTTGGTGCTCATTGCAGATACGCCTTCGGCGAGTTCGTAGAGGCTATGGCGGAGCATCTGGTGGCCAGGCAGCTCGTGGACGTCAAAGAGTCGGCCTGGTACAGCCTCTCCTTCGATGAATCCACGGATCGCGCCCGCGGAAAGCACCTCATCGTGTATGTCACGTTTGAGAGAGGCGAGGCCGTGGTGTCCCAGTTTCTTGCTCTCCTGTCGCTCGAGCGTTGCAACGCCGCTGCACTGTACGACACGATCGTGAAGTGCCTGTGGTCGAAGGACATGTCGATGGACAAGCTTGTCGGGGTTTCAACGGATGGTGCATCCGTCATGGCTGGCTCGAAGAACGGAGTTGTCGCCCTGCTTCGGAAACGTTGCCCGTGGCTGGTGGCGATTCACTGCGTGGCGCATCGGTAAGGTTGCACTGCAATGTCCTGTTATCTTATTACCGTCGCCATACGTACTCACGAACCTGTCGTGCTTGTGCAGCGAGGCATTGGCTGCAAAGGATGCCGCGAAGAGCTTCAAGGAGTTCAACGTCGTCGATCAGATGATACGCCAGACTGCCGAGCGTCTCGGGCGTTCATCGACCGATCACAAGACCTACATGCATCTCCAGGACGTCATTCTGAAGACGCACCTGGAGGTGCAAGGCTTCTGCACCGTCCGTTGGCTGTCTCGCGGAGATGCTGTGAATCGCTTCTGCGACGTGCTGCCGGTGCTGATGTGGATGTGGACGAAGGAGAAGGACGGGATGGAGAAACTCGCTACCAGCTTCAAGTTCCACTACATGCTTTACCTCCTGGCTGACGTGCTGCAGCTGCTCAACGGACTCAATCTTGCCTTCCAGAAGCAGACGGTAAGATTGACATGAACATGTACTAGGCGCTTCTTCTCTTAAGTGCTTGGTTCTAATGTTTTCCCGCTCCGTTTGATTTCAGGTCGACATCACAGAGGTGAAGAATCACGTCGACAAGGTGAAGACCAAGCTACCGCAGTACTACGTCGAGCCCAGCGCATCCTACGGGCCGAACACCTCTCGCCTGAACAAGTTCCTTGCTGCACACGGCAGCAAGGACAAGCGCAAGATGGAGCTCAAGGGAGTGGGTGGCGACGGCAAACCTGCAAAAGCCGAGATCGAGCTCCACGAGGACATCATCGACCCTGAAAACCCGGGGGGGGGATGCGACTTGGAGGCCTGCGTGGACCTGGCGCGACGTTTCGCTCAGCGCCTGATTAAGGCGCTGGGGAAGAGGATGGCGGACCTGCGCCATTTCGATGGTGTTGGGTTTTTCACCCCTGATAAGTATCCCTTCCGTGCAGGAGAGCAGGACACATGGCTGCAGCACCATCTCACCGAGCTCCTGGACATGTTCAAGAACCAGCTACCTGGTAAGCCTAGATTAGTATGAAAGGAACCCACGTATGTTCTAACTTTGTACGTATTATGCTCACACAATGACGTAATCTAACTTTGTATATGTCCTTGGCAGGAGTCGCTCTTGCTGACATAGAGCCGCAGATGCGCCTCTTCACAGCCACCATGGAGAAGAAGTTCAAGAAGCAGAGCTTCCATCAGGCTCTCACCAACATGCTGCGCACTGCAGACTGGAAGGATGACTATCCCACCATAGTCTCTCTCTGGCGTGCGGTCTCTGTGTTGCCCCTCAGCACTGTTGAGTGTGAGAGGGGCTTCTCCCGCCAAAACATTATTAAGTCGTGGGATCGTGTTGCTCTTACTGATGTTAGGCTGGGGGAGCTGATGACGGTGAAGATGCTAGACTACCCGGTGGACTGGGCAGCGGCCTATGCCTTGTTTGAGGATAAGGGGAGGAAGGGGAGGAAGCCTGCCAACTAGGCTCGCATTGGATGTCGGGTTAGAGTAGAGTAGCTGAGCTCTGCATGCCATATCTGTAGTTAGTGTAGAGAATAAGAACTTTGCAGGCTAGGTAGGTTTTATGACTATTTAAGACATGTGTAGTGTTAGGTGTCTTTGACTTCTAATTTAAGTACATAACAGCACTTATCATAGTAAAATGAAGTGTAAGTGCAAACTTCAAACATGCCCTGATTTCAAGTTCTGACTTTGGGGTGCGCCCGTGACCCTTAAGGGCGCCAAAACGCTCACCTACCCCCAACCAAGGGTCAGATTGGGAGGAGCTGGGGAGCGCAAGTACGAGCCCCAGGAACTTCGACAGGCCTGCTGCCAGCTCACACCAATTTCAATCAAAACATTGTGGACGTACTCGCTTTACAGTGGCACTCCATACCAGTTACTTGTTTTTTCAATGATTAACGATAAGTATACACCGACGTGAACGAGCATTTACT